TTTGTTATTTATTATTTACTGTAAAGCTACATGTACCAGAGGATGGTATTTATTATTACTTGTTTATTATTTAGAATAAACAAGAAAAAATAACTAACATACCCTGATAGATATAGCTTTAAAGTAAACAAGAAAAAATAACTAACATACTCTGTTAGATGTAGCTTTACAGAATCGAGAAATAATAACTAACATCCAGTGGTACATGTAGCTTTAGAGTAAACAAGAAAAATAACTAACATCCACTGGTAAATGTAGCTTAACAGTAAACAAGAAAAATAACTAACATACACTGGTACATGTAGTTTAAAATAAGCAAGAAAAAATAACTAACATCCACTGGTACTGTAGCTTTATAGTAAAAAAGAAATGACTAACATCCACTGGTACATGTAGCTTTATAATAACAAGTAATAATAAATACCATCCTCTGGTAAACGTAGCTTTATATTAAATAATAAATAACAAATACCATCCACTAGGAGATGCAGCTTTAGAGTAAACAAGGAAAATAACTAACATCTACTGGTACATGTAGCTTTACAGTAAACAAGAAATAATAACTAGCATCCACTGTTACATGTATCTTTACAGTAAACATGAAATGATAACTAACATCCACTGGTACATGTAGTTTAAAATAAACAAGAAATAAAAACTAACATCCATTGGTACATGTATCTTTACAGTAAATAAAAAAATAACTAACATCCACTGGTACATGAGTCTTTACAGCAAACAAGAAATGATAACTAACACGCACTGGTATATGTAGCTTTACAGTAAAGAAGAAAAATAATGAACATCTACTGGTACATGTAGCATTATAGTAAACAAGAAAAATAACTAATAACCACTGGTACATGCAGCTTTACAGTAAACGTGAAATAAAAACTAACATTCACTATTACATGCAGATTTAGAATAAACAAGAAAAAAATAACTAAAATACCCTGATAGATGTAGCTTTAAAGTAAAGAAGAAAAAATAACTAATTTCCACTGGTACATGTAGCTTTACAGTAAACAAGAAATGATAACTAACATCCACTGGTACATGTAGCTTTACAGTAAACAAGAAAAATAACTAAAATCCACTGGTACATGTAGCTTTATAGTAAACAAGAAATGATAACTAGCATCCACTGGTACATGTGTCTTTACAGCAAACAAGAAACGATAACTAACATGCACTGGTACATGTAGCTTTACAGTAAACAAGAAAAATAATGAACATCCATTGGTACATGTAGCTTTACAGTAAACATGAAATAATAACTAACATCCAGTGGTACATGTAGCTTTATAGTAAACAAGAAATAATAACTAACATCCAGTGGTACATGTAGCTTTACAGTAAACAAAAAAACTAACATCCACTGGTACATGTAGTTTAAAATAAGCAAGAAAAAAATAACTAACATCCACTGGTAAATGTAGCTTTATAATAAACAAGTAATAATAAATACCATCCTCTGGTAAATGTAGCTTTACTATAAAAATAAATATCAAATACCATCCACTAGGAGATGCAGCTTTAGAGTAAACAAGAGAAATAACTAACATCTACTGGTACATGTAGCTTTACAGTAAACAAGAAACAATAAGTAACATGCACTGGTATATTTAGCTTTACAGTAAACAAGAAAAATAATAAACATCCACTGGGACATGTAGCTTTACAGTAAACAGGAAAAATAACTAACATCCACTGGTACATATAGCTTTATAGTGAACAAGAAATGATAGCTAACATCCACTGGTACATGTGTCTTTACAGCAAATAAGAAATGATAACTAACATGCACTGGTATAAGTAGCTTTACAGTAAACAATAAAAATAATGAACATCCACTGGTACATGTAGCTTTATAGTAAACAAGAAATGATAACTAACATGCACTGGTACATGTAGGTTTACAGTAAACAAGAAAAATAACTAATAACCACTGGTACATACAGCTTTACAGTAAACAAGAAATAAAAACTAACATTCACTGGAACATGTAGATTTAGATTAAACAATAAAAAATAACTAACATACCCTGATAGATGTAGCTTTAAAGTAAACAAGAAAAAATAACTAATTTCCCCTGGTACATGTAGCTTTATAGTAAACAAGAAATGATAACTAACATACACTGGTACATGCAGCTTTACAGTAAACCAGAAAAATGACTAACATCCACTGGTACATGCAGATTTACAGTAAATAAGAAATAAAAGTGGATGTTAGTTATTTTCTTTGTTTACTCTAAAGCTGCATCTCCTAGTGGATGGTATTTGTTATTTCTTATTTACTGTAAAGCTACATTTACCAGAGGATGGTATTTATTTATTGTTTACTGTAAAGATACATGTACCAGTGGATGTTAGTAATCATTTCTTGTTTACTGTAAAGCTACATGTACCACTGGATGTTAGTTATTATTTCTTGATTCTGTAAAGCTACATCTAACAGGGTATGTTATTTATTTTTTCTTGTTTATTCTAAATCTACATGTACCAGTGAATGTTAGTTAAGTACTGTAGCTTTACAGTAAATAAGAAAAATAGCTTACATCCAGTGGTACATGTAGTTTAGAGTAAACAAGAAAAGATAACTAACATCCACTGGTACATGTGTCTTTACAGCAAACAAGAAACGATAACTAACATGCACTGGTATATCTAGCTTTACAGTAAACAAGAAAAATAATGAACATCCACTGGTACATGTAGCTTTACAGTAAACAAGAAAAATAACTAACATCCACTGGTACATGTAGTTTTATAGTAAACAAGAAATGATAACTAATAACCACTGGTACATGGAGCTTTACAGTAAACAAGAAATAAAAACTAACATTCACTATTACATGTAGATTTAGAATAAACAAGAAAAAAATAACTAACATATCCTGATAGATGTAGCTTTAAATTAAACAAGAAAAAATAACTAATTTCCACTGGTACATGTAGCTTTAGATTAAGCAAGAAATGATAAATAAAGCTGCATCTTCCAGTGGATGTTAGTTATTTTTCTTATTTACTGTAAAGATACATGTACCAATGGATGTTAGTTTTTATTTCTTGTTTATTTTAAACTACATGTACCAGTGGATGTTAGTTATCATTTCATGTTTACTGTAAAGATACATGTAAAAGTGGATGCTAGTTATTATTTCTTGTTTACTATAAAGCTACAGTACTAGTGGATGTTAATTATTATTTCTTGTTTACTAGAAAGCTACAGTACCAGTGGATGTTAATTATTATTTCTTCATTACAGTGGATGCTATTTTCTATTTCCTTTATGTACTCAAAATATTCGTACAATGTTGTAATGAAAAATGTTGCGTTATTTCAACATACAACTGAGACAAATAATATATATTACTCAGTATTTTCAATATTTTTATTTCAATATTACTTAATTCAGTTGATATCTACATAGAGAAAACACCGTCAGTGCAGATCTTGTGTGTTCCAAAAATCAACAAACTAAGAATATTCTAATTCTACTTTTTTTTATTAATTGTTTTTTTTTTCAAAAACGTATTGAATCACATGGATATTTGAGGGTGGGGCCCTGCCACCTAGTGGAGTTTCTACTCTATAAAGTAAGATAGCTACGATGCTTTATCTTTACGATATGGTAAGATGTCTCTGCAAAATGATGTCAACAATTGTCTTTTAAAAGTGTCTGGATAAACCTTTCCGTTCGGTAGAGGAAAGTGCTAATCGTCTGGGTATATGAAAAAGCAACTAGAACGTACAAGTCACATGTTAAAATTCTGTTTATATTAAGAAGGCGCTGGGAATTATCACCAAAGATTTAATGTACTTATACTAAGAAGGCACTTGGAATTATCACCACAGATTTAATGTACTTATAGTAAGAAGGCACTAGAGATGTATTACCACAGATTTAATGTACATATACTAAGAAGGCACTGGGAATTATCACCACAGATTTAATGTACTTATACTAAGAAGGCACTGGGAATGAT